GAGTGAGCGATGCGTCCGCGTGGACAGCTGCTATACAATAATACATTTCCATTTACCTCCTTCTCTATATCCATACAAAATATCTATCAAACAAATAAAATTAAAATTTTCTTTTGAAAAATGAAACCATTCCATCAGTATTTTCTTCTGATGTTGTCACGCTCAATTATCGTCAGTAAACCGACTTTACAGACAACCGATTTTTTCAATAAAATTAAGGTTCTGTATAAGTATGTATAATCCGTAAATTTGATACGAATTCCAGTTATTAATTCTCCTTACCCTTACGTTAACTTCGTCAATACACGGGCCTGTGCTAAATATCTGTACCTACGGGATGGAAATTTTTGGAGAGAAGAGGTAACAAATCGAAAATCATTTTCGTCGCTATTCCGCGACGTCGCAACGCCTATCGTCGAGAGCGTCGCGCAGTTGAGTTCAGTTATTTCGAAAGCGCTAACTAATGCGACAACGTGTTCACATATAGTTTGTTATTAAAGTTGAGCTTGTAAGTTGTTTACAATGTTAAACAACCGTGTTACAAAAATATCTAAAGTATAAGTGTCTATTGTAATCGAAATAAAAACGGTTCTGTAAAAAGAAACTATTTTTTTGAGGTGGGTACGCAATTTAATCGCGTTGTTATGTAGATTTTTGTACTTTTCTCCCAAAGGTTGTTCACTGTGCTATTTTTATATGTTTAATTGGATATTATTTGGACACCTAGGAGTTCTTCTTCCACAAGTAGATATTTTTTAATTTACTTCTAGTTTTAGAAACTGGAACAAATCATTATTTGAGCTTCTATTTGAACAACGTGTTTCGTCATAACTGTATGATCATGTTTTCTGTGTTCTTCTGATTTTACACATTTTATATGTAATTACAAAATGTTATAAACACGTCTATTTATACCCTGCAATTTAAACGTTAGCAGTAAAATTGCATCAGCAATGATTTTTTTTTAATTAATTTCGAAAAAGAAAACTAATGCTTGGAACATGGTACATGTATTGATTTTAAGATGCTGTGTAACCTTGGCAATCAAATAATGCTTATTCGTATCTCGTAATAAAACAAAAACATTTTATTAATCCCTCTTTAAAAAGGCAAATAAAATTACCAAATGTACCTACTATGAAATTTAAATCGCTCAAAAATTATTTAAAAACACAAATAAAACAACAAAAAACTTTTTGATTGAATGAACCTAAGTGTGCCCATAGGTACTTGGAACTTACAATATCGAATCAATTCTTGTTTTAATTTTCCTTTTTTAGTAGTGCTTTATTTGGTTTTCTATTATAAATTTGCCTAGTCAAGTCAAGTCAAATACATTTTTTTTTCAGTGGGCGTGTTAAACAGTAAATAAAATCATGGCAGTGGAAATACTTGATGTTGACCATTATGCCATTAGCGCAATAGTGACTGTCAGTATGCAGCTAATATTTTTTTCCATAGCTGCCAGCTTTCAGTTCGATAAATTGACTGATTTTGCGGGTGGGATCAACTTTATTATAATTGCCTTGTTGACGTTTTTTCTTGGGCAAGGAAACCGAGTAAGTGAATACTATTTTTTTTCTTAATAGTTAGTAAATGAAAAGAAACACAGAAAAGGTGTAAAATCTAAAAAAAAATGTATCTTGTATGGTTGGGACTCATTTATTTAAAATGTAGAATCAATAATATCAGAGCAACAGATAATTAACCCATTTTATATAATATTCTTTTTCAGTTTAAAGTAATGTTACATTAAGTTCGCTGAATTTAATAAATTGTAACAAATGACTAATTTAAAAGTTAGCCCCTTAATTTAAAATAATGATATTTATTATTATTTATTACAATATTGGTAGAAATAAAATAGTGAACCAAACGCCGATAGAAAGTTTAGATATGGACCTGTTTAGATTAAAAAAATTGTAGCTCTTCACCTTTAATAAACATTGAATGCGGTAGTAAAAAAACTAAAAGTTAGGAAAAATTTCTGGGAAAACTCAATTCACATGTACTTGTTGTTTGTTACTTCTATCGGAAAACTACTCTAGATAGGAAAGTAATGGATGGGGTCATTTCTATAGAGCAAGAAATTTCCTACAAAAATATCATTAGTGTAGGCTATTGATTTTATTAAAAATTATTATTAAAAACGACGATAAGGGTAATGTAATTTCAAATGGTTAAAAAAATACAGGTGTTAAAACTCGCATATTATTCAAAATGTTTGTTCAAGAGATAATAAAATACAAAAGTCATACACAGAACAATTAGGTATATCATACGTTAAATTATTTTACTTAAATTACATATGAAAGTGGAATTATTTATTTAATAAGTTATGAAATGTTCTTTCATTATTTTCTCCATTTTATGTAAAGACGTGTATAAAATTAAAACGTCATTTTAAAAAGAGAATATCTTCTAATTTTTATTGAAAATCGAAATTGATAGTGACTTTAATGTTATATTCAGTATTAATGCACATATTTTTCTTTATAAAAAAATCGAAATTGAAGGAACGCAGATTTTAAAATGCTAGTGTTCTGCTTTGTTAATGCTACCACCAACATTACACGTTAGCTTGAAGAGAAACAGATATTATTTTCAATATTGTAATATTTTCATAATTTCAAACATAGCAAACAGCCAGTAGATGGCGCTACACTGCCTACATTTGTACATTTCAAATAAACATTGCATATTTTTCAAAATTCATTTGTCGAATATTGACAATTAGTTTGTAAAAGACGTGGACAAAACTTATAGTTAGTTTTTTTGTGGCTATACTCCCTACCCTCCGCTTTTAAAGTTGAAATTTTGCAATTTCTGAATGTAAAAATTACAGGTGTTGTAAGTTTTATACTTTTTAAAATTCATTTGTCAGGTTTTGATAATTGTGTTTATAAAGGGCGTGAACGAAATGTATGAAGTCAGATTTTTTGTAACTGTACCCTTTACCCTTCGTTTTGAAACTGAAATATTACAATTTTTGAAAGTACAACTTGCAAGTATTATAACTACTGCATTGTTCAAAATTTTGGTTGTAAGATTTTGATAATTTTGCTTGTGAAGGACGGGGACAAAATGTATGAAGTCATATTTTTTATAACTAAACCCTTTACTCTCCGTTTGGAAGCTGAAATTTTGCAATTTTTGAAAGTACAAAGTACAGGTGTTATAACTTCTATATTTTTTAAAATTAGTTTGTCAGATTTTGATAATTTTGTTTGTGAAGGACGTGAACGAAATGTATAAAGTCAAATTTTTTGTGACTGTACCCTTCACCCTCTATTTTAAAGCTGAAGTTTTGCAATTTCTTAAAATTACAAGTTACAGGTGTTGTAACTTCTAAATTTTTTAAAATTCGTTTGTCAGATTTTGATAAACAGAATATGTAAAGCCAGATTTTTTGTAAGGGCTGTTTACTCTCCCTTTTGAACCTAAAGCATTTCAATTTGATAGGTAGTGGGTATTAAATATTTTAGGGGCAGAAAAAAGCCACCTGATGGCGATACAGTGCCTTTGTTTGGACTTTACAGGTTTTATAACGTGCATATTATTTAAAATTTTGCCAAATTTTGATTGTTTTACTTGTAGGGACGGATGATAAAATATATGGGTAGATTTTTTGTAACTACTTTCTACCGTCCTTTCAAAACTAAAACTAAAATTCCTGATAGAAAAATTATAAGTTTTACAACTTGCATCTTATTCTTTTGTTTGTTGAAGACAAGGAAAAATTAACTTTTAACCTTATGTTTTGAACCTAAATCTTAGAAATTTCTGAAACTGAACATTGCAGGTNTATTATTTTGAAAAAAGCAGATGTTATAACTTGCATCGTTTTCAAAGTTAGATTGTTAGGCATTAATAATTTTATTAAATTATAAAAATGTCGATATCGTTTTCAATTTATCTTATTACTTATTACGTATTAAGGCTTTTTGCGGAAAATATAGCACAATGAAGCTGGACTGTAATTTTGGGATAATAAAATTTGAACAAAAATAGACGTAAAGGAAGTATATGTATTAATATGATATTTAAACGTAAATAATACAAAACTTGAAATATTTTGAAATGCAATCTTTAGACGGGGTGCAATGTTGTAAAACGTACACTATGTTTACGTAAGGTAGATTTTTGTTGTAGATATTTTTTTTTAGTTTACGTTGATAACTCGTCATTTATATTAATACTATACGAAACACTTTGGAATTTTTAATATTTACACAAATATGCAACAAAATTAAAGTACGATTTTAACTGTTTTCGTAATATTTACAAATGATTTCGGAAAAGTAAAATTAACCTAGTAAAAATTTATACAATAATTGTAGTGACCATTCTTCACCTATTTCGTATTCAGTTGTTTAAATCAAAGCAATATTGGGGTTAATAGTACTCTATTTATTTAACCAAATCAGTCAGCTATGGTTTTTTAAATAAATAAAGTACTTTTAAGTCTAATATTCCTTTGATTTAAACAACTGTATGATGATTCTATGTGAATATAATGGTCGAAATATTTTTCTAAATCCGTGCCTATTATGATGTTTGCTTGTCGTTTATTCTTCATTGCGGTAGGGAGGAAAGGAGACAGGTATGATACCATCTGCTATTTATTTCGTAATATACTGGAATGCTTTTGCTTTCGTGTCGTTATCTCTTGAGTTTTTTGCTGGGCGTATTGACTCATATCGTTTGCAGAATACTCTGCAAACATAATATAATGTCAATAGAAATATTAGGACAAAGAAAAATTATATGAAAATATATGTGGGAATAGGCATTTGAACAACTGAATATTTTCATTTAAAAATGCAATGATAAGTACAATTAATAAATTGATTATTAATCAAAATAATAATTAATTAACTTTGCTATCATCTTGTAATTTTTTACACACATAATTATCGTGAAGTTTTTTTCCTTTAGAAATACAGAATCTTTTCCCTTCAAGTTAAAACATGGTGCTTTTTATGTTACATTTAAAATAAATTAGCTGAAACAGTCTTAACTACTAATTAAAGTCGTTTTTCGCACATGATATTTTAAAAATTAATTTTAATTAAATTGAAAGTCGTTTTGTTAAAAATTGCTTCAATCAAGAGTTGTATCATCCTATTCTGGAAAATCGACTAAAATATAGGTACACGTGAAAATATGTATCTAGAAATTTTGGGAAATAGATGATAATCTATAAACTTTAGGCTTTTTAAAAATGCCAAAATGGCAATCATATTTTTTCCTTATTTACGTATACGTATACGTTAAAATATGCATTTTATGTTTCGATTTGGTTGACCAGAAAAATCCGTGATTCGTAACAGTCTAGAACTTTTCCAAAAACCTACAATGTTTAACGTTAATAGATGATTCCGAAACTTTGTATGTATAAAACATTTGTTAGAATTAATAGTTTTGCTACCAAAAACCTGATAGAATCAAGAATTTTGATTAGAAATAGTTTAATGGAACACTTTTTGGTAGATAAGTACAATATATTTGAAAATTCACTTGAGGTAATAATTATCGCAAAATCTGTGTTACCTACTCTATAAATCCTATTACGCATGACTTTGGGAAGAGTAATAAAACTAATTTTTCGCATACATTTATGGCGAAAGCAAAGTTTATCTACTTTTTGGAATTTTAAAATGAAAGCTGCTGTATTTTATGTATTAGGATTGAAGTAGTGTGCTAGAGTGAAGCAATTCCAACTATTTTTTTTTTTGAAATTGGGAAGAATTCATATTTTGGCGCTCATTTATGGCATAATACTTAATTATAAATTGTTTCCTGGAACTTTGAAAACGTATTCCACCAAAGCCCTCTGTTTTTGAACACACCTGGAGAAATTTCACTTATTTGTATTTATTTTAACGCTAATTATTCATTTCTTCGGCCATTTGTATTTTTAAAAGGCATCTAAAAAGGTGAAATGCATGTTAATGTCATTGATCAAATAAAATGACACACTTGCATTTTCAAAAGAAAATCTAGTTGCATAATTTGTACAAATAAAGTTTTTCTTTTAAAGATTCAGAAAATGTCATGTAGGTATATTGTTCACGATTTTTACTTTACTCATTAAATATATTACTGAACTATTTATAGAACTGTACCGCATCCAGTAGTTTGCTACAGATACTTAATTTTCTTGATGTTCATTTACTACTTGCTTACTTATTTACCTTTGAAAGATCATAATATTAATAAATTATCAAGAGTTATAACTGAGCAGAAAATTATTTGAGATTTGAGAAAATAACTTGAAAAATTAGAAGCCCTTTCTCTTTGTTTTTAGAGTTCTTAGAGATTTTTAAAATGGTTAGATAGGTACTGATTGAGTATCAATTCGTTCATAAATTTTATATTCAATTTTTAGTAATTGCTTTCTTGGCCCACGTGCCAATAGAATTAAAATAAGGAATTTAAGTACTAATTTTAGTCTGGAACCCCAGCCTGTTATTAAATTTGTTCTTTATCAATGTGGTAATTGTCAGTATTTAAGTTGTAATAGTAAATTCGTAATTGCTGGGACACCTTTCTATTC